GCGACAAGGAGGGAATATCGCAAAACGATGGAAACGTACGAAGAAAAATTGCGAGCAAAAAGCGGAAGTCCAATGGAACGTGGCAGAATGTTGACTTTCGTTCTATTTTTCCAGTTCGCTGCCTGTTCGTTCCCTTTTTTCTCTTCTCTTCCATTCCGTCTCGACCTTTTCATCTTTCCTTTTTTTTTATTTTTATTCATCTTCGTGTTTTTTTGTTTCGAGAACAATTACACTAATGCTTTCACTATTTTCATCTTTTAGAACTGGAAGTTCAGTAGGAAACAGTGGTAACTCGAAGCCAAAACAAATACAAATGTCGCTGAACCGACTAAATGAACGAATAAATGTTTTCTCGCTTGTTCTCGTCCTGTAAAATTTTCAACCTTTAAATTAAAATGACGTTCACTTTTCTTCTTTGAGGGAATTTCCTCCGTTGGAAACTTTACTCTATGCTGTGTATATTTCTGCTTGTTTACATAGTATCTGATACGAACGAAAATTGGAAAGCAAGGTGTAAACATTCGTTTTACAGCAATTCCATTCGTGCCGCTCGGTAAATTTGATCTAACTCTGCGCTCTATGTATCAGGTAATCGTTTCGTTCGGCAATGATTACCGACAGTAAACGTGGTTATGAGTCTATCCAAACGATAGTCGAACACTATCGGCTTTAGTTCATATTCGTACAATTGTTATTCAAACTGCATTGGGTTTTATTACAAGATAAATAGCGGTTAAACAATTAATGCGTATGAGTATGTATGATCACACATGACGTAAACGTTCATGTTCACCAGTGTTTGCCTGACCGATTTTCAAATCCCTTTACATTGAAAATGTTTTCCGATACCGTACATATTGTCGATATTTCGAGATTTGCGGTTGTTATCTTTGTGTTTTGTTCTCTGCTAAAATTTTACTGTAAAATTTACGTTCTATCACACATAGATCGTAGTATCGTATAATATTTTATACAGCGATTTGATTTAAGAATATAATCTCTTTAAACATGCGTCGAGTGTCAGCACATAGTGCGTACAAAAATTTCATAAATGTGTGAAACTTCTATTTTAACATGGGTACCTTGTTACGAATCGAAACACTTGATCGTTCCAAAAGGAACCGTCTCAACGGAAATTTTTACAAAACTTATTAAACTTAGTCGTCTGTCTGTTTAACGAACGCTAATCTATTTCAATCTTTGAAAAATTTCCGAACTGATCTCCATTCTGGGGATATCACAGAGAAAAGAACGTGAAGCTTTTTCAAGACACGTGCATATTGGCTTTAACACCAAAGAGAATTCTAAATCAACTATCTATAGCAAAATGATCATCGCGTTCAAATCATTGTTCTATTACTCGATGAAATTAATAGGACATTTTGATCGTATCAACACTTACTTTAACAACGATTATCGTAGTTACACCTTATTTAGCAACGTTAAATCCCAAAAGCGATTTCGATTTTCTTACCAATTATTTATTTATAATTAATTTACTTACAAAAAAATTTATTTCTTTAATGTCGCTGATGATGTACAATAAAGTTACGAGGACTTGTAGGATTCTTAATATCTTTGATATTGAAAAACATTTTATTATTCGAATTTATTAACTAAATAAATATGCACTTTCGGACAAAGGCGAATAACAAGAGGGAAAAAACAGGGAAGGAAAAAGATGATTCGACTCGCTATTTCAATTAAATTTAATGTTATTTTTGATCGACAGAAATAATTCTTAAAGATTATAATATTTATAATCAAATCAGATGATATTTGAGATTGTTGGATTTAATGTGTACTAAATTTCAGATTATAAAATATTTGATCATTTCGTGTTTAACATGAAATTATTTTGAAAAGTTACTAATTGATTAAATGAGTAATGTACTTATTTTCAGTTCAGTTTATAGTTTAATAAACTATATAATTTTAATAAAACATTACAATTACATTATAAGAAGATATGTTTTTCTATTAATAATTGAAAGAAAATTTTTTCACTGCCAGGAAAGATTAAATGAAAGGATTAAAGTAGTGACTGCAATAGATGGCATGGATAAATATTGTTATATAGATATTGATTGACATGACACATAGTGTTTAATTTTTCTTTTGGATCCACTCAGTCCTCCTGGATCAACAAGTCAAAAAAATATTTTCAGGTATTACACCTCCATACTCTTCTTTGATCTATCAATATATTTCAATATAAAAAGAAAAGACAAAAAAAAAACACAATATTCGTAATTTTTAACTGGGAAATGAATGTTTCGCTTTCATCCAGGTTTACAATTAGTCAATAGTGAAAATGTTTGAATCCGCTTAAAATTCTTAATTTAAAGGAAATTTCTTATGACGAACAGATCACGAAATAGGAAGGTTACGTAATTATCTTGCGAGGAATAGTTTCAGTAACATTTCCCCGAAACTCCCTTCGAATTCTGTGTCGCTTATATGTTCATCGATGTATATATGTAGGTACTTATCTACGTACTTCAAAATGAATCCTGTTGTTTGTTGTTCCGGTTAATTCAAAACAATAGTATATTAATTTCGGAACATATCAAATTCTTGCGATATTTTCAAAATCACGAAGAAAAATATATAGTTGTATTGTTTTCAAAGAAAATTGGAAAGGGATTAACCTTCGACTAATTATAAATAATGACGAGAATAGGAAACGAGATAAAAACGAAAATTTCAGTATGTAAGATGTAAAAATGTAATTTAATTATTTTTCGATATACACGGATAGAAAATGTATGTACAAATAGAAATTTCGTGTAATATTCGTAGAAATGCGAGATGAAATTGATCGTGTAATATTTGTAGATGAATCTCGGTGAGATTCTCAGAACCAAGGAAAGTGAAGTTACTGACTGGTTCGAAGATTCATTATTCAATAGCGAACCGAAGTTAGAGGATCATGAAAGGAAAGAGAATCAATTTGGAAACGGCAGAGAAAAAAGAGAAAGATAAAAGAAAAGGCAGGAGAAAAGCGAAAGAAAGAACTATAGGAGTGTAAGTCGTAAAAGAAAGAATTATCAATTAAAATTACGCAACACGCTCCTTTGGAGGAGTATTGTTCCACGAGTTCTCTGCGAACTGGAAACGAGGACAATAAAAGCGGATTTTGATTTCTCCACGAGAAACTGCTCTCGAATGGAAGAGTACGCTCGCTCAAGTATCATCGGACATTTATCGTTCTATAAAAGAAATAGACGCCGGACCTTTTCATTGAAAAAATTTCACCTAAGTTTCTTGATTGTGAAAAAGAAAGAGTCTTCTATGCCATTGACGAAACAACGACGTAAGATGAAAAAAAGGTCGGTGAGACGTACGGTATGACTCCATTGGCTACCTGGAAGAGAAAGGCAATTAAAACAGTTCAATTTTACTATCTCCTTTCGAATGCGCGAACTTTGCCGATTTGATAGTTTCCTCCGTGACGTCGTATATTTTCCTCGGAACAGTAATCTCACTCCGAAGGGTAATATTCCTGCGGATGGCGTGCTGCTTTCTAGGATACCCGCAGGAAAGAAAAGCAAAGTTGTTACCATCGATCTTGGGAATTCATTATTCACTGAGTTGGCGGAGGGCAGAAATCAAGAGGAAAAAAAAAAAGAGAAAACGCGACAGAAGAAGGTCGACGAAAGAGGAAAGAAATGTATGACGAAGGGGTTAGAGATCTTACCTACGATACTACTGATAAATAATTACCGCCGGATAAGCGGACAATGACGTCAGTATGTTATCATGCGACTGAACCAACCGGTTCTTCGCGTATCGACCGTGTCATCGGCCTCGTCGATATTCTGCTCCGATTAACGTCTTTATGTTCCGCCTTAGAACTAGAAGGTACATGGGCAAATATGTCATCACGAATTACGCAACTTTGTAAACTTATGACTTTGATCCGATCCAAAGCTGTCGACATCGATGTGTATTACGAGACAAAGAAAAAGAGATTTCAGGATCGATCTAATCTTAATTGATATAAAAACTATGGATTGATAGAAAGATTGAAGAAGAGAAACCAAACAATAAAGAGCAATTCAAAATTGAACACTGCAATCTGTTTGACTTTCGATAACTGAGATTCATGTTTAATGCTAGTGAACGATAAAGAGACGGGGAAGAGTAGCAAGGAAGCTCGACTTAATTCTTGGTTTATTGTCAAATATTTATTGAGGCATAATTCAAGTTATATCGTTAAAAAAAAAACCAGCTCTATGAAGTAGTTTTCATGGCTTTTTAGTCTATTTCCATCTGAATTCGACGAGTCTGTGGTGTAAAAAACAATACAAAAAAAATCAACGATTTTGTTTTTCCATCGTTCGAGCGTACTTCATCAACGATAGCTGTTGCATCGTTAGATTTTTTTCGTTCTTCATCTTGAGCTTCACGATATTTTCATGCTGCGAGTAAAAATCGCTGTTAGGCCAGATGATTTAAGTGTATTTTCTTCTTTTCTTTTTTATTCTAAAACACCGAATGGAATATTTTAATTCGATTTGCGAATAAGTTTGATAAAATATCCGGGGCATCATTTGTTTTCGAGCGACGTAACATAGATGAAATAAGCTGTTTTCAAAGGCAATTAATTCAAATGTCTAATAAGGAGTAGAAGGTGTAACGTATGCCAGTATCCGCAACATGGTTCAGGCGTAACTGATACCAATTAAATCCTGAATGAGCACGAGGTTGGCCCGGTGTATATCTTATGTGCTTGGGAGGATCGACCAAAGTGTATCCTGTGCTTGTAACATGAGACGGACGAGCCTCAAGCATATCCACGGTAACTACAGCAGGAACAACACATCGGCATCAATATCAACAACATCGAGTTAAAAATCCCTGTCTGACTTGGAAATACTGCTCTGACCCTAGACACTTCAAGCACTAGTAGTTCTAGACTAATTTCCTAACTTCTAATAATTTTTTACTTCCTAACTGAATTCGTTAATAATTAATAATAATTAATAATAATTTTTTATAAGTTATTAATTAAATTTTTGTGAAATATGAAAGACATAAATAATCACATAAGTTTTAAGTACTTTAACTCGTTAATATGTAGTTCCTGTTCCATAACCTTATAATTGTGAGAGTAAGGATCGCTTCATTCTTAAGACATCTCGAGTGTAATTATTAAAACTGTGAATCCTTGACAACGCTTTTCAGTTTAACATTAGTTTCTTAGAATGGGAAATATTTCAAGATTGTTGGAATCAACGATAAAGATAAAGGTCTTGATCACTGAATCGGTGATCAAATGTGTTGCATAATTGAAATAACTTCTGGCCGAATTCTTAATTATTCAAAGGAAACTGTGAAGCTATGAAGAAGCCAAACCAGCTTCTATTGGATCGCAATCGAAAAACGAAACTCTATTCTGGATGGCGGAGCATCGGTTAATACACCGGGGAATCCGTTCCATTTCTACCTTCAATTATTTATGGAAAGCAGAAGGGAGGATTTAAGTGTCCCCGGTGTGCCTCGCCCATTATCATTTAAACTAGAATCTGAAAGGGTCTCGATTATTCTCACTCGAATAGCCTCGATCTTCTACAAGCATGTTACACGACAAAAGAACAAAAATAACATCGAATTTTTTGATCAAAAAGGAAAAGAATCATTCTAAAAGAAATCGAATAGCCTAATACTCATCGTTTTTAATTACGATAGGAATTAATTCCTATGGACGAAGATAATGCTTAAATAGAAGTAAATATTAAAATACCATTATACAAATACCAAAGTGGAATATCTTGATTTCGGTGTCCTATATATTTCGATGAAGCTGGTTAGAATATTAGAGAAATGTTGGTTGATACATTTTTCAAATATTATTGATGTAGCTTCCAACATTGCTTCTATGATCAACTAGAATGGATTGCGGATGTTTATGTAATTTTTGCAAATGTAATTAAAGAAATGAAATTTATATAGATACAAATTTGTTCCACTTACTAAACGAGCATTTTAGAGTTTAGATATTTAGATTTGTTACATATATATGTTATGTATAGATGTATGCATTTTTATATTTATACATTTTTAAATTTCCCATAAATACACATAGATACATTCACAATGCAACCATAAACTTCAGGAAAATTCTGTTGTTGTTTCTCTGCTTTGTTGTCCCTTGAAACACGATTGAAATATCTGAATCGCCGAAGATTTGTGAGAAATATTTCCGAAAATTGAGGAAGTGTAAAGTGACTGAGGTGAGAAGTAATGAGAAAAGAGGTATTTGCAATCTAATTACGATTTAGCTGAAATGAAAGATGTGGAGATCGTGAGAGCTAGAGAAATCGAGGAGAAGGAATAAAAAAGATGGAGAGAGCTTCGATTCGAAGAATGACGAGGGCGAGGCGCTAGGTAAGGTGAGTTACACACGAAGAAGAAACCTTCCGAATCAATATGCGCCGCGAATCAGTACGATGGACTTCCCTCCGGTCTATTCGACAAAGTATGTAGCAGGGATTGCGAGATCATCGTGAGAGCAACGCGGTGTCGGCTGATAAGCTTTTCAACGAAGTCTCTCCCAATGTCAGAGACGGAGATGTTGCCCTCGAGGGTCGACCGCCTAACCAGAATTCGATTTCTTGATCAAGACACGAACAGAATGTACAAATGAGATCTTCGTCGTTCGTGCCGAGAACTGTATGGGTCAACTTAAATTCCGTGTTCCCCAACGATTTCGTGACTGACGGTCTTTCGACTATCTGCGTCTACCGAATTTTCGTGTCGCGTTCTTTTTTATTTTCACTGTTAAAAACTTTCTTGAATGAAACACAATGAAATAAATTTTCCGACTTTAATTCACTAAAATTTTCAGTAATACGAATTTATTCTAATAAATCGAATGCACTTTATACTTATCCTTTTTCTGAAATACTATGAAATGATTCAGATAATATATAAATGAAATGTTTGTAACGGTACATATGGCTCATGTAAGACTTCTTTTCTTTTTTTCTCACTTTTATTTATTTATTTTTAGTAACAGATAATAAGTAGATAATCGTTTTTCGCTAGTTATTCAAAAATAATTCAACAAACGAAAGAAATATTTTCTTCAAACGAAGTACCGAATTAACGATCGAATTATTAAACTGTTATTTG